TACTGCATTTGGCTTGAACTGTGGATATCCACTCAATCCGGCTCGAGATTTTGGTCCACGACTTTTCACACTTATGGCTGGCTATGGTGGTGAAGTTTTCAGGTTGGTTTTGTTGAGTAGTCAGTGGAGTAGCTGGAAGACAATTTGAACAAACCTCTTAAATTTTCAATATTTCTTCTATTTTTGTAGTTTTTCACTTCAAAATTTCATGTGTAACATATCATATAGGCGTGCAACAAAGTTGAATTTATGTTTCTAAATTTTCAATTGGTCATGGTGCACAACAGTGAAATTTTCTGCTTTCTAGCTTGTCTGGTTGTTGAAATTTGGCATTGTTTCTCTAGACTGAAATAATCAGCTAATCTCCTCTACTCGGAGAAGCATATTTTGCATTACTGTATTCATTCTCTAATTAGAACTCAAGCAAAGCTCGTCAAAAAAATTGCTGTAAAAAAAAACAATACTGATAGCAGCTGAATGATACTGTTCTGAAAAAAAAGCCTGAATTTATAAAAATTCAAACCTGAATTTTGAAGAGTAGCATTGCTCTTCCTACTTGTTTGTGCAGAAAGTACGGTAGGCATAATGAATTTTCAGCTATCGAAGTTTTAACTGGTTTTGGGTACCAGTGCTTGGACCATTTATTGGAGCCGCCTTTGGTGGCCTACTTTATCAGCTGGCCATCGGCTTCCATAATCCTTCTGACACTGACGATATACACATTAGAAAATACGAAATTGTTGCTACCGAAGAAAGGAAACCGCTAACTACAGGGTACCGGATTTTCCGATTCCACTGCTTTGTTCTTCAGAAATATGCAGCTTTCCAACTGTTGCAGTCTCAGCTAACAATCTATGCTTTTGAAACAAAGTTGGCCAGTTCTTGTGAAACTCAAATGCTTGATGTTGCGACGTAGAAGAAAAAGTTCTAAATCTTGTCTCGCTGAATTAGGCCCGGAGAACATGGAGTTAAGGATCTTTTCTAGCTTTTAGGGATTGCCACGGT